AATACTTAGTTTCTTGGGCTATGTCTACACTATACGCTTATTTTAAAGTAAGCAATTTCAAAATAATAACCCCCAACATAACAATTTTGAAATAGTGCATCCACACTACAAATTACGGATGTTAAATATCAGTTAATTGAATAGTCAACTAACCTCACAAATTCTTATCAGTTAGTTGACTATTCTTTAGTCTCCAGGGGTGGGACTGGCAGCCAGTGCACTCCGACCCCACTGCTGGGGAGCCCCTTGCCACACCACGCTGCTCCACCTCTATCAGAGGCAGCAGTGTGCAGTACCAGGCGGGAGCTGTCCATGAGGGAAGCCAGTTTAAAAACCAGCTCTCCTTGCGGACTGGCTGGGGGCACCCCCGGGGCGCTGTCTCTGATACACAGGCAGCAACGCAGGGTGGCAGCATCCCCTGTCCGGGGCTTCGGGAGGGCAGGACGCTGTGCTCCTAGACCCGGCATGAGCCCAGGACTGAGCGCAGGAGGTCCGGGACTTGATGTGAGCCAAGGCTGAGCTGGGCTGCTGGCCAGCCTGCTAAAAAGTTTACTGGGTGGGGGGATGCATTTAGTCTAAAGCATTAACCTATCAGCTTTTGTTTATCAGTTAATTGGGAAAGCAACTATACTGTTACATCCCTACTACAAATCCCCATCTAAAGATCTTAGAGCTATATCAAAATAGCGCATTCACGCTGATTGGAGCCTGAATCGCATTTAAAGACCCCCAGAAGCACTTTGGACAGGGCATCAGGACAGCAGTCACTTCCTGTAGCTGCTTCCTGAGCAGCTCCTCTCTACAACCGTGTCTCAGACTCTTCGCCATTGCCTATCTCCTCGAGGGAGAGCAAATACATACCATGTGTTCTGCTTGCCCTTGAAGATGCCACAGTACCTCCAACATGGGGCCGGACCTTATGCAAAGCAGTACCAGGCTCTTTGATGTCCTTACCCAGCCCTGGGCATTCCTCCTGAACCAGATATCCATCTGTCTTCCCTGGCACACTGTGCACCACCACTTCTGGTGTTGGGAGACCACTTCCAGCTGGTGGGACTGCATTGTCATGGAGTGGTGGGGTGACCAGCAGTGTCTCCAGAACTTCCGCATGCGGAAGGACACCTTCCTGGAGCTCTGCAAGTGGCTTACCCCTGCTCTCCAGCAATGGACCAGGTCCAGTTGGGAATGAGGGGGTTAGGGTTGTAGCAGAGACAACAAAAAAAGCTACCTATATCTGCAAAAAAATGATTTAAATCATTGTGGGACCTTGGGCCTTTGACATTTTTTCCCTCACAACTGAGTTTTCATCTATGTGACTGGAGACTGGAGTAGCTTCTGTGATTAGTGATTCTACATATGAAATGCTGTTTACAGTCTTTGCAGAGTTTAGAGGTTTTGAAAGTCATAATTAATTGTTACTGTAAAGTGATTTTGCTTGGTTTGAAGGTGAGCTTAGCCTTTAAATTAGATGTTCATCTCTGCATAGGAAATTTTTGTATTTCTGTTTTTACTTACATGTCTTCATATACAATAACCATATCAGAGTCAGCTGTAAGCTACCTCTTCATCCAGTTTTAGATTCACCTTTAAAGGCTCTTTTGTGATAATAAGCTTTTAATTCTAGTTGTTTAATAAACTTTATATCTAATCTGGCAATTGTCCTGTGTTCATAGCCATAATAATGCACTAATTATTAGAGGACTTTAATAATGGGAACAAGTTAGCAGACAAAACTTCAAGACTTTGAAATAAGGCTGTAAAGACTGTTATAAATAACACCCCTAAACCATTATTATATAATATTAATTGCAAAGTATATACAATTAACATTTTGTATAATCAATAGACTTTAACAAATTAATTTATTGTGTGTTCCTGTGTTAAAAAAACCCTTTATAAAAATGAAATGAAGATTTGAAAGTGTTGCAAGTAAGAGACAGCGAAAAAGAATGGTTACTTACCTGTAACTGTTGTTCTTTGAGATGTGTTGCTCATGTCCATTCGAATTAGGTATGCGCACCACGTGAACCGCGTCTTCTGGAGCGTTTTCCCTAGCGGTACCCGTAGCACCGGCAGGGTGCCCCCTGGAGTGGCAATGCCATGGCAGGGCATAAGTACCCCTGCCGGCGCTGCCCCACCTCAGTTCCTTCTTGCTGGATGCTCCGACGAAGGGGAAGCGGGGGGGAGTCGAATGGACATGAGCAACACATCTCGAAGAAGGGCCTGGGGTCCTGGCCATTGCTACTGTGGCAACCAGGTCCTTTAAATCACTACTGGAGCACTGGGCAGTGTGCTCTGGGTGATTCTGAGGGCTGGATAGGGATTTGGGGGGGAGGCATGGTGCATTCTGGGTGGTGCTGAGGGCTGTTCCCCAACCCAGCCCTTTTGAGATGTTAGTCTTAGAGAACTAGATTGAACAGATTCTTGTTTGGGGGATAAGGCAAATTCATTTACTGTCCCTAGCTAAAATTATCACACACACACGCACCAGCCACAGTTGTTCATGATAGTCCACTGACCAGACAATCTAGACATGAGGAGGGAAGCCAGGTCATGTAGGTGCACACCAATGCTCCTGGAGGATGATTGTAGAACCAAAAGACCCAACCCTATGGTTTTCCACTAGGGATATTAAAAATTGTGTATTGGGGTAACCATGTAACTGCTGAAACTCTCAGGGATTACACAATTACCCATGCAGAGGGCTCTGCAGCATATAGCTTAGCTTTATACGGCAGAGCCCGTAGTGAAACCTCCCTGTAAGTGGGGCTGCCAGCCCCTGCCAGCCCAGCTCCACTTCCAGGAAGGAGGCTTTGCTGAGGCCCTTGCCAGCCTGGCCTGGCTTTGCTCCCGGGGAAGAGGCTTTGCTGTGGCAGTGAAACCTCCTCTGGAGGGGAGCTGGCAGCCCTTGACAGCCCAGCTCTTCTCCCAGGGAGGAAGCTTTGCTGAGTGTAACCGACACCGTTAACTGATAAGCATCCGCTTATCGGTTAAATGGTCAAAACAGTTACACTCAAGCATCCCTATTTTGCACCCATTTTTAAAAATATGTTTTAGCCCATAGATTTTGTCCTGTCCCACTGCCCCAGGGCATTGTATGACCATGAATCATTTGTTAATGGCAAATGCAACTTTGCTCTTTTCCATGAGGGTATGTCTACACTACCACCCTAGTTCGAACTAGGGTGGTAGTGTAGACATACCCTCATGGAAAAGAGCAAAGTTGCATTTGCCATTAACAAATGATTCATGGTCATACAATGCCCTGGGGCAGTGGGACAGGACAAAATCTATGGGCTAAAACATATTTTTAAAAATGGGTGCAAAATAGGGATGCTTGAGTGTAACTGTTTTGACCATTTAACCGATAAGCGGATGCTTATCAGTTAACGGTGTCGGTTACACTCAGCAAAGCTTCCTCCCTGGGAGAAGAGCTGGGCTGTCAAGGGCTGCCAGCTCCCCTCCAGAGGAGGTTTCACTGCCACAGCAAAGCCTCTTCCCCGGGAGCAAAGCCAGGCCAGGCTGGCAAGGGCCTCAGCAAAGCCTCCTTCCTGGAAGTGGAGCTGGGCTGGCAGGGGCTGGCAGCCCCACTTACAGGGAGGTTTCACTACGGGCTCTGCCGTATAAAGCTAAGCTATATGCTGCAGAGCCCTCTGCATGGGTAATTGTGTAATCCCTGAGAGTTTCAGCAGTTACATGGTTACCCCAATACACAATTTTTAATATCCCTAGTGGAAAACCATAGGGTTGGGTCTTTTGGTTCTACAATCATCCTCCAGGAGCATTGGTGTGCACCTACATGACCTGGAGGGCGCCCACGAATTCAAAGTGCTGAGAGGGAGTCAGCGATGACTTTTCCTTGTTTAGGATGAGTCCCAGCCTTACGAAGAGGGCCCTTGTAAGGGACACATGGGTCTCCACTTGTTCGTAGGAACGACCACGAATTAGTCAGTCATCCAGGTATGGAAATACGTGTACCCCTTTTTTGCGGAGGAGTGCCTCTACGACTGCCATGCATTTTGTAAAGACCCTTGGTGTCGTTGAAAGGCCAAATGGGAGCACTGTAAATTGGAAGTGGCATCAGGAAACAATGAAATGGAGAAACCTCCTGTGGCTGGGTCTTATTGCCACATGGAAGTAAGCATCCCTGAGATCGAGAGTAGCGTACCAGTTTCCTAACTGTAGGACCAGAATGACAGAAGCCAGGGTTACCATTCTGAATTTGGATTTCATGACCGCCTTGTTGAGGTCCCTGAGATCTAAAATGGGACGGACCCCGCCCTTGGGTTTCAGGACAATGAAATATCGGGAGTAAAACCCCTTGCCCTCCAGATGTGAGGGGACACTCTCCACAGCTCCCTTTTGGAGGAGCGCCAACACCTCCTGGCGGAGCGTGCCTTCATGAGAGGTGTCCCTGAAAAGGGATGGGGCAGACGGGTTGGAAGGGGGCTAGCCCAGAAAAGGGATGGTATAGCCACTCCTGACTATGTTTAGGACCCAGGCGTTGGTCATGATTTCAGCCCAGGCCTGAGCAAACCGGGATAACCTGGCCCCAAACAGGGGACCAGGGTGGAAGGCTGGTGCGCGACTCTCTGGGAGCCCGTCAAAATTGCTGCTTGTGTTGTTGGGAGGGACCTTGACCAACCCCATGGGGGTTGTCCCCTCTCGGGCGACGTCGACGACCCCTTGAGGACAAGGGGCCTGCAGCCGCCCCGCACCCCCACTGGGGGCACAAGGACAGCGTCTCCAGTAATCCCCACGGGGGACCTGGGACTGCAGTCTCCCCTGCTGTCTGTAGGGCAGCTGATGACGCTGAGGAGCAGGTGTGTGGATCCCCAAGGACCGAAGGGTAGATCTCGTGTCCTTGAGTATATGGAGCCTTGAGTCCGTATGCTCCGAGAATAACACCTTGCTGTCAAAAGGCAGATCCTGAATAGCAGACTGGACATCAGGAGGTATTCCAGACACCTGCAGCCAGTCACCACAGTGCATAACCACACCTGACGCCATGGCAGCTTGTCCTTAAACTTATCCACGGCCTGCCAGGTATTAAAAGCATAACGACTCAGCATCGCTTGCTGATTAGCAATGCGGAGTTGCACCCCACTGGTGGCGTACACCTTCCGGCCCATCAGGTCAAGATGCTTGGACTCCCTAGCTTTCGGGGACGGCTCCGGCTGGGGAAGCTTCTCCCTTTGGGCCGCAGCCTGAACGACCAAGGACCCCGGTACAGGCTGGGAGTACAGGTGTTCATGCCCCAACTGGGGAATGTAGTAGCGCCTCTCGACTCCTTTTAAGGTAGGGGTCAGGGTCGCCGGTGTTCGCCACAGGGCATTGGTAATTTTTGCCACCATTTTATTAAGTGGCAAAGCCAAACGGGCGGGCGCATCGTCCAAAAGAATGTCAATCATGGGGTCCGTGTCCTCCACTACTGGCTCCACAGGGACAACCAGATTGGAGGCCAGACGCCTGAGCAGCTCCTGATGTGCTCAGGCACCTATAGTAGGCAGCGCCGGTGCAGGATCCGCCAGGGCTTCATCAGGAGACGATGATGATGACGACTCCTGGATCGGTGCCAGGTCCAGCGTAGGAACTGGCTGAGGCATGGGGCTGGGCCCAGTCGGGTTCCGGGTGAGACCTGGAGGCCTGCGTCGAGACCGGTACCAATGAGGAGGCAAGCGGTACTGATCCCACTGGGGACGGTCCCGCTGCATAATTGGCCCGAGCCAGCCGGTCATGCCAGTGCGGAGGTGAAGCCAGAGCCAACACGGTCTCCGGCGTAGGCGACCTCGACCCTTCCGCTTCAACTGACGACGGAGGGGAGGTGGTGAGACTCAGAGGTATCCAGTGTGGAAGGGCAATGCGGAGGTAATTGCCCTGGACTAGAGGGATGCCCCGCTCACTTATGCTGCACTGTAGAGGATGAGGATGTGTGCACTGGTGAGTCGGTACCACAGTGCAGGCCCAACCTGGGTTTCCGGCTCGGAGACCTCCCACGAGACTTTCTCAGCCTCTTCGGTGCCGGAGAGTGAGACCAGTGCCAGGCCCTTGATGCCGAGGCCCAGCCTCAGGATGGAGCATCTCGCAAGGACGCCGG